CTATATATATATATATTTTTTTTATTATTTTATATATTATTTCTATTTATGCATTGGCACAGAGTGGTCAAAATAGACCAGTATATAAATATGCAATGTGTCTTTTATATAACATTGCTAAAGGGATGAAATTTTTAACTTCTCGGGGGACAGTCTTTGAAAGTTTCCTCTGGGGCTAATCATCTCTGAATAATTGCTGCTGAAGTTGCAGAGGATTAGGTTAGGACTTGAAAAAACAAATACATTTTTAACTTCTGCATTCTATTGTTCCAAAGAGATCAAGAGGCTTTGCTGAATCTTCTGTAGATAAGCTGGTATGAAGTCCCTTCATCTCCAAATCATCCCTAAGGTTCAGACTGGGAAAAATCTGTGGAGGAAAGACACAAAGGAAATGGGCTTGCATTCCATGGCCTTCACAGAGAAAACAAATATCCATTTCCCCTCCTGTTCTGCATTCCCATCAGTAACGGTGCTTGATGTTCTATTTACAGTTTTGTGAGGTTTATATAACCTTGGAAGGAATGAATGCTTGAACTAGTGCCAGGATCATCTTTATCAAGGCATCACTTTTGCTAAATGGTCTTTTATTATGCCAAAGGATGTGGTCCCCAGTTCAGCCAATTTGAAATTGCTAATCTGTCATTTTGGATTTATTGCTTAGTCTAGTTGTGCTTCTGCTCATTTGCAAATGATGACCTGTTTTTTAGAGCTGGAAAATGGAAATAGGCATAAAGGTATTCTTGTTCCTTACTGTAAATATGATGCAGAACAGATTATTTTGATATTGTAGTGTAAGTGGACACAAAGTTTCTAGTTTTGTGCCATATTTTTCCTACTCTGAAAACGTCTTGTTAATAAAAACTTTTAAAGGTTTTGAGAGGTAGTACTTCTAGAAAAGCGTTAGGGCTGTGATTACATTGAAACAGCAAGGAATAAACACCTCTGGGTTTCTCTAGTGAGCTATGCTGAGACTTTGGGCAAATCTCTCCATGCTTCTGTTTTCAGTGGAGTTGGTCAGCACTGGGCTGTATATAGCAGAATGAACACAATGTTGAAATTGTTTTCTCTGTCCTTCCACTTTCTGAATGTGTGTAACCCTTTGGCAGATGAGATAAAGAGCCCTGGACTGTGTGGGGGTCAGGAGGGGGAAGAGCAGTGGGGCTGCCAGGCTGGGGGCCAGCAGTGGCCCTGTGGGTAGTGAGGATGGGAGTGAAGTGTGCAGGTAACTGCCTGCTGCTGCTGAGGTTTGGGAACACATTGTCTTGAAAGAAAAGGGGCAAAGTTTTATGGGAAGAGACAGCATGACTGCTGATGAACTGCAATGTACTGCAATGGCTGTGGCCAGAGTGACTTCTGCTCTTTGTCAACATGTCCTGTGGAAGACATTTATCTTGATAGTAGCCCCATTTCCAAATTATCAGGAATATTTTTCATCAGTTAACAAAATAACTTGTGTTCTTTGGTATTTGAAGTATTTTTAATCAAAAGAACTTTTACAGGGACATTCACTAGAAAATTCACTGTCTGCACTTTTCCATCTTCCCCTGTTCTTGCAGCCTCTAGATCACTTATCCTGTCTGATGTAAAGGCACGGGCAAAAATAATCAGACTTGGTCAAGGGGAAATATATCAGTGGGAAGTAAATGCTATTTGTTTCTTAATATTTCTCCTCCTGTGATACCTCCATGTTGGTCACTGAGAAGCTGTTTATGTTGTTTAAACAGGAATAGTGTCTGTTGGTATTGTGATAAAATCCTGTAGGTATTTTACAGAGCTGTGAATCTGTGGTTTCTGTTAAGGGCGTGGAAGCTATTAACAAGATGTATGGTTCACTTTTAACTCTGTAACCTTAGCTCTCATTTAAATGTTTGTTTCCTTTCTGGTTTGCTGCAGTAGTTTCATGATCGTTTGAACTAAATTGTAGACCTGACATTAGTAAACTAAGGGGCATTTATACCAAGGTTACATTTATTCTTTTGCCTTTTGTTATCTGAGAATTCACAGCAATTATTTGTTTTAACAGATTTCCAAACATTGTTTCCTAGCTTCCTTTTCATGATGTGCATGGGCCCTATGCTGTCATGTTGTAGCATCCGTTCTTCAGGGGATGAACACAAATATATCAACGCTGCTCTTACAAGTGAGAGGACTCACTGCAGAGCAAGATCAAAGTCATTTTCTGCCCTTGATGCTCGCAGTACCCAACAGCAAAGGGAATGCAGATGTTAACATGACATCAATTTCATTCTTTGGTGTGATTCTTTTACATTCTCCTTTATTAACAGCAGAGGTCTTTTCTGTCTATTCAGTAGGTCCAGTAAGGTGAACATGAGCTGGTTTTGGTTTGTAGTGTAAAGTGGAGGAATAGCTCTTCTGTTCCGTCCTCTACTCAAAGAGGAATTGTTGAAGAGACTGGCATGGTTATCACTTGGGCACAATATAGCTTGATTCTCTTTTTTTCATTTTACAACAGTGTGCCTTGTTTTTTTCACAGGCCTTATGCCTGAAAGTTTTTCTACTGAATTATTCTAAAATAGCTTTAGAAACTTGCCATTCCTTTCCCAGTGGAACAGAGTGAGACTTTACCAGTAGGTCTCAAAAACACCACATGAGAATGGAAAAGGAAATTCTTTTACAATCTTAACATTAGAGCTGAGTAGGTTTTCTGGCTTTTGTGCTACCTTATATTTGTGTCATATGCAGCATCTGATTTATTTTGTGTTATGGACATATTTTTATCAGTTAAAGTTAAGAAAATGCAATTCTCAGTGCTGTATTTAAATCTTAAAATATGATGTTTTCTATTAGCAGAATTCTCCATTTGAGCAATCACCATAATACGTGTGCAGCAGTATCTCCCCCTGTGATTACTGAGTGGTTTCTATTTTGGGAATGTTTCATGGCTCAGCCTGGAGTGCTCTTGGGAAAGCTCAAGTAGGAGAGCTTCCAAAAAGCTAGTTTTATTCTGATGGTGAATCTGCAGAGAGGCAGTTCAAAAGACCAGGTGTCTTACATTTTCACAAGTTGATCTTTGAAGCTTTTCTTTTTTTTTTGTATCATGAAATGAATGCAGTGCTCATTTTGGGAACTTTCTGCTTTTTTTTACCTCCTTCCTGCAATGTTATGCTATCTTCTTGATCAGAAGCTTTTTGTTTTAAGTACTTAGCAGAAAGATGTAGATGGGTTTATAATAATCCTCACAGATTTAGCTGTATCTCATGCTATTCCTGTGTGAATCTCCTCTTGTCAGAGGGCATCTCTGCAGCAGTCACAGGAACCTGAATTAGCCTCTCCTGAACCCTGTGCTGCTGCAACAAGAGGGTGAGAACATAAACCAGCAAGTTTTAGGCAAGCTGTGGTACTGCTGGCTGTGCTGCAATCTTTTTTACTCTTTAGTTAATCTTCTTACTTACTCATTCCTAAATCTGTATCTGAGAGCAGGCAAGGAGAAAGGGGTGTAGGCACCTGCAATTAGTTTTTCTTGTTCTGTGATGTTTCTTTCAGTTTGTTGGGTTTTTTAAAACAAAACAACAGCTCAATACCACGTGCATGTATTCAAGCATTTGTCTCAGGTTCTTTTGTATTAAACCTGGTGGAGTAATGAGTATCACAATAGTTAATGTGGTTGACTGGATGAAAATAGTGTGTTTAGACAGAGTGTTTTCCCCCCTGAAAATAAATTAAAGCAGTTCTCTACATAATTAAAAAAAAGGAGAACTTGCTATACAAGCCTGAGTTTTTTACATGATCTCTGGTTTGAAGTGGACTCATAGGTTATACAATGTGCATGGAAATAGCAGCCCATTTCCTTCCCACTTTGTAAAATGGGACTCTTGTAGTTCTGTATGTGGAGCTTCCCCACCTGCATTTGGAAGGAAGTACCCAGTCATTTGTAAAGCAAATTAGAGGTATTTGCATATATACTTTGAAAATTCGTTTTAGTGTTCTTTCTTCTGTCTTAGGAACATTTTTTCCAATTAATATTATTTTTTTTTGAAAAAACAATCAACAACAAGGCATTATATAAGTGGCCTTTTATGGGATGGAAACTAACTTTTAAGTGTTACAAGAAAATGCCTTAAGAAAACAGTTATTTCCAGGAAAAGTAATTGTTTAGATGTAAAAAATATTGGTGCTTAATATGTTTAGTCTGGCTTTCCAAATTTCATAAACATATTTTGATTTCTCCTTTAAAATAGTTTTTAAATCTTGTTTTCATATTTGGCTGTTACTGCTGCTAAAAATTTGCTGAGTTCTCTGATAGTCACAGGATGAGTGTTCCTACATGATTAAATGCTTTGAGCACCTGGATCAGAACAAAGCTGCTTCAGCTCACTCAGGTGTAGCTCTGTGCACACTAAAGGATATGCTTTCCTCATTATGGGTTAAATGTTTATTCACAGGTCTGCAAGCATAGCTGGCTTCAAAAGTTTTGGATTCTATTGCTTAATTTTCATTCTGAGTATTCTTACAAATATTTTGTGAAAGTTAGATGTACTGAACTGAAGAACATGAGATGGAAAAAACCAAAGTATTCGGTTATGTGAATTATTGAACATTTCCAGTTTGTGAAGAGATCTGTGTTCTACCATGGGAAAAAAGTTTTAAGGTTTCCTGGATTTTTGGACTTCCCATGAAATTGTTGTAAACACTTGGGTGTCTTTCTGTTCCAGCTGCGCCGCATGCAGGAGATGATTGCCCAGATGCAAGCCCAGATGAGAATGAAACCTGGTGATGACTAAGGTGCTTAACATCTGGATGAATCAGGTATTGCTTTTTTGACTTGTTTTCACCTCTTACATAAGATTTTGGCAATGATTATTGTTAATTTTGCACTTTGTGCTTGCTTTTACTGTACTTAGTGGGAAAAAAAAGTGGTGTCATGAAAAGACTAGAAAAGATAAATGCCAGTGTTACCTTCCAGCTGTTAATCCTTCTCTTTAGTGCCTTACTTTTGGATCATCAGACTTTGCTTCTGTTAGCACAGGCTGCTCAGAAAATTAATTTGATATATAAACAAAAGTTAGAATGTTTTGGGGTATGTAGGCTGCTGAGTTTTTAACAGTTTTCTCAAAGAGACAGACAGAATTTTGGTCAGATGTACCTTGATGATATCAGGCTCCCTTGATGATATGTATGATGTATTAGGGGAGACCAGAGTGAGTGTAGAAAAAAAATTCCTGTAGCACATACTCATTCTTTCTTCTGGTAGAATTTTACTTCTAAATGCAAGAACAAAAAATGGAAGGATATGAGAAGTCTTGTTGCTTAATACTTCAGTTTAATACTCTAGTTGTGATTGTTGGTCTTGTGGAATGTAAAGCTTGAATAAAATGGATTATATTATCCCTTATGACCTTGTGTCAGCTGCCAACATTCCAAGCCTAAAATAAGGAGATTTTCTGTTGCCTTTATTTGAACCTTCAGTCTTCCTGTTTACATAAAAAGAAGAAAAAAATAATTAAGAAATAAACTTATTCACTGGATTCTCGCTTGAGCAGAAGTTGATGGTTTTACTGATACGTGCACTGTTATCTTTGAGGAAAGTACTTTCGGGCAAATAAGTAATTCAGTCTCAGGTTTCTTACTGTCACAGTTTCAACTGTTGCAGATAGAGGAGTCTTCACATCATGTCTTCCAACTTCCATACTAAGATATGTTTTCCTAGAGTTGGAAATCTAAACACTGAGGATAATTTTGTGGCTGACCACACGGTGTATGTGATAGCAGTGTCTGACAGAAAGCTCTCATTCCGTAGCCAAGAGCTGGTCATTTTGCAGCCTGTTCAATATTGTTAAATACTATAGTTTGAATTGAAGGTTACAAGTTTTCACTGTGACTTTGTTGTCATGTGGCCAAATTCTTACCACTTGTGGAAATGGTTATTTGGTGTAGGAAAGATTTTTTAGTGTAAATGACTGTTACTGTTTTTTGCTAAGGAGCTCAGTTCTTTGTAGGAGTTAGAAATCATGTTTAATCACATGACACCTTCAAACTGATACTCAATAAGAAAAAACACCATTAATCTACCCTTGTCCACAGTTGTTAGCAGAGCAGAGGATGGCAAGGGGTACAAATATCTATTCAGAGTTCTTTCCTCAGTTCCTAGATGCTGGCTTTGCTGTGAAATCAACATCTGAGGGCTGATGGGATGTAGTATTCCCACTAATGGTTAGCCAGAAATGGCCCCAGGTCCCCTGTGCTTCACAGCTTCTGGCAATACTGGATATGGCCTTTATAAAAAGGAACTGGAGCATGGTTTGTCCCAGGCTGAATTTGCAGCCATGGCTACGTAAGTAAACAGAATTCTGAGCATGCTCATGTTTGTCCAAGGGAAATGTTCTTCTGTAGATACCTCACACTGCTAATCTGAGGGCAGCTTGGACGACTCTATGTTAAGCAGGAGACTTTGCAGATTTAACTGAGTGTTCCTATGATCTTCTTGTGATTTGAACTAAATCTTGAGGTCAAATTAATTGGACTGAAATACTGAGTATGGATAATTTTGAGAAGGATTTGAATGAGATCCTCATGTATGGAGGTCCTGCTGTTTCTTTGGAATTTGCTAAGCTACATTTCTGCAGCTGCTGTGGAAATCATGTTTGACAGATTGCTTTCAGGAAAGACTTTTAAACTTCTGGTTTTGTTACCCTTGAGAGAGAGAGTGAGAGATTGATTTTTAGTGTAATTTGTTGGCCAGTATGCAGTCAGAACTGCAGATGCAGTCCTAAACCAGGATGTTGCTGTATGATCCTGGCAGCATGTGGAAGGGAATCCTCATCCAGAGCTTAGCCTTAGGGAAGTTTTTCTCATGCATGTTAACTAACTTTGCAGCTTAGGAGGAGTGATGAGTTCAACCATTCCCATCAGATTTATTTGCTGTATTTGATTGAAATCACTATTTCTAGAGAAACCAGGAAATTTGTAACAGTGGTTAACAGAACCAAACTGCCAACAAATTTAAATGTAGTTGGTATTAATCTTTTTGTTCTATCACAGTTTATCTTGAACATCTCTCAGGTTCTAGTTTTACAAGAACTTTAAAGGATCACCTGTGATCCAGAAAGCAGTCTCTCCTCCCATTCTCTTTTGCACCTTTACTTTGTGCTGAGAAAAAGATGTGACTTTGTGAACAGAGAATTTATGTAAAAATTAATATTTTCACTCTTTTTATTTTGGATACATACCTAATTTTTGTGTTTTCTTCAAAAGTCACTTAAAACATTTTCCCCTACATAAAGCACAGATATACAGATGTTTTCAGGTATTTTAGGAAAAGTGTGGTGTGGTATGAAGACCTTCATAGGTAAGAGCTGGAGAATAAACAGTACGGTAATGAAATGTGTTAATATCCAAATGTGTGAAATACCCACTTCTGATTTCAGATGTATTTTGGGGTGGGGAGGAGATTGTTGAATGCTTTGAATTCTAGGAGGAGCATTGCATAATGATTAAAAAGTGCTAAATTCAAATCCTTGCCAAAAAGACTGACAAATCTGTGTTACCAGAAAGTGCTACACAGATGGGATGACTGGAAAATCTGGTTTTCCTGATCCCTTTTGAATAGGGCCATCTTTAAAGGTTTTATGGAAAGAGCAAAGGGAGAATTCACTTCAAGCAGTTTCCTTTACTTTCAAGGCTGGAGTAAAAGAAGAATAAGGGGAATGACAAAAGCAAAGATTAGATGCAGGGAATACAATTCAGAGTTTCCAAAGAGTTCAGACAGATTTCTTGCTGTGGAGAAGTAGAATCCTGAAAGGCAATGAATGAAGATGAGTGCTGGTGGAGACTGTGTTAGAGGTAGGAAAGGAAGATGGTTTTGGCACACTGGTCATTCCTGTTTCCAATTGCAGTTTCTGATGAAAGCCTTTGAGAACAGATTTTGTGATTAAGGTCTTTTTAGTGCAGCCCTGACAAAGGTGTGTTGACCTACACTTTTGTCTCTTTCCTCTAAACATTTAATAGCTTCTGTGTGCAGTTAGTACAGGTGGAGCAGGCAATGAGAGCACAACTAGACACCAGAATATTCTCAGAATAAGAAGTAACAAATTTTTTACCCTGACTTTTGATACTCACCTTACTAATCCTTTCTCAGATTTTTTTTTCTTGTAAAACACAAGGCATTGCTATAAAGTGTAGGAGCTTATTAGTTCTTATATTTGATAAGTCACATGAAGGATTGAGGAGAAAAATGGAAGGGTGAAATAAGGTAGCAAAACCTAAAACAGGTTTAGTTTTATTTGGGTGCTCAAATATGAAATGCTATTGAAACAAGTCTGTGGTAACTCCAGTAGCACATTTACTAGTTTCTGAACTTCATCTTAGATGAGCAATTATTATGAAAAGCTGGAATAATTTTACCAAGTGAAATGGTTATTGGTAGATGTTTCTTCCCTTTCATTCTCGGTTTCTCCAAGTGTATCTCTTTGCAATCTGTTTTCCTTTTGTTATTCCTACAAATCTGGTTTGTCTGTCTTGAGTCAGTTTCAAGATCATACTGGGACAAATCAGTAACAGAAGCCAGGCTGTGGAATGCTAATACAGCCATCTGGAAATGTAGTTATAGTTAGGGAAATGTGTTCAGACAAAAAAGAAACGCAAGCATCTTACACTTAAAATATCTGTAGGATGTTGAAAATTCTTTTAGTATAGCTTGTGATTTCCACAAGTATTTTAAAGCCTCCTGAGCACATTAACACTGATCTGGTTCTTGATAAGAACAGTGCTAAAGACACCAAACAGCTCCTTCTTTCTGCCAGTGGATTGACATCATTTAACAGAACAACACAAAGCACTGTCATAGCAACCAGCCTTCTAAAACGATGCTGCTGAATGCTGAATTGATCTGATGAGAAATGTCATTTGAGGAAGTAGAGATGATGTTGTAGTTTTTTGGCAGCTGAAATTGAGAGCCTAGAGAATGTGAAGCTTGGGCAAATTTGTAGTATTTGGAACAGCTGCCTGGCACTGCCAGTGGATGTTTCTCTACTAGAGAAAACTGGAAACTAGACCAGGAGAGTGCTGTCAGTGTCCAGCTCTCCTCAGCTCTTCTGACTGTGGAGTTGTTCAGCAAACACTGCATTGATGGGCTGGGAAAAGTTTTTTCACCTTTAGAAAACAGATTTCTGTTGGAAATTGTATGGTAACATGGGGAATCTGAAAATGTGTCAGGGCCACTTTTTCCTAAAGAAACAGAGGAACATTTTGGATAGTTTTGAAGCTTGGATCCTGGTATGTAGATGTGACTCTGTGGTTATTACCCCATTAACATATTTAATTGATGAGCATTGATAATGAGTTCAAAGGCCAGTTCTGTGACTTACTGTGAACTCAGCTGATGATGTTTGCTGTGGGGAAGTATGGTCTCTCTACACAGTAGTGAAGGAAAGGAAACAAACTTGCATCAGTGAAGTCAACAGAGGGTGACTGAAACACCAGAAAACCAAAATGTTTGGGGTGCGGTGACAAAATGACTCAAAACCTATAGCGGAACATTGGTGTCAACCAGTACTACTCTGCCTTTTGGAAAGATGCCATTTCACAAAGTTCTTGCTGACTATGGGACACTCAAAGGGCTGTAGTCATAAAATGGGTGCTATTTCAAGAAAAATGCGGTGAGTGAGAAAATGTAGCTGCTTATCAAGCAAATATCTCTGATTTGGAACTCCAGAAGTGAACACAGATGTCAAGTCACCCTGTGTTGTAGTGGTGTTCTTGGAGGAGTTGAGGGCCAGACAAACCCATTTCCTTTACAAGGTGTTCAAAATCTTCACAAATGCAGGATTCTGAGCTATGTGACCACAGGATCAGGGTGCAGGTGTATGTAGTACTTGCTAGTTATGCTACTTACTGAGAGAGTTCTGTTTTAATGGCACACTGGAGAAACATCCTCTTTGTTCAAGGATGGTATGAACTCACCTTGCAGAAGCAGGTATTTGTTAGCTCTGTGTGTTGGTGAAATGATCATGAGAGACTGTAAGGTTGGTCCAGTAAAGCTGGAGGTCAAACTTGGCAAGAATAGTATCAATCTAATTGTATCACAAAATATTGCCTTACAAGGAGATGAGGAAGAAAGAGCAGTGAACTGAATCCACGTTAAAAGTACACATACTTTGCCCAAGTGTGTTCTATGAGCTTATAAAATGTGGGTATGGTGTAGCTAATGCTGCTAGCATCAATGCACAGCTGTGCTTAGAACCCAAGCCTTCATGTTTATTGGAAATTCCAGTCGTTTTGTGAGTCTGAAGCATGAGTTACAGTTTCTCCTTGAGTATCTTCTGTAACAGATTAGAGTTTGGCAGACAGCCGCAGAAACCAAGTTTCTCCTTCAAACTCAAAGTAGTGGTGTAGCACAACAGGTTGATTTTGAATTTAAATACTGAATTTACTTTGCAATTTATGAACTCTGGCTTTAAAGCCTTATTGCTGGCTTGCTTAAGTTATTAGAAGTGATGGGCTCCTTAAAATGAGATGGAATTGTGTATTGAACAGAACTCCCACAATGAGAATAGCAAAGAGCAAAGCACATTGCTCCTTATCCCCACTGTAGTCTGGATGAATGTTACAGTATTTTCTAGGATAGTTCTATTTTTTCCATCCAGATGAGCATATAGATTAAGCTAACCTTTTCTGTAAGGAGTGAGTGGTTTTGGGACTGGAGAATTGGAGCTGTTTCCCCTGAGTTCCAAATCTGATACAACTTCTTAAGCAGGATCCAACCTTCAGGGAAAGCTGTGATTCTGCTTTCTTTGCAGCAGCCTTTTTGATTGGCAAGTAACTGTAGAAATATCCAAAACTGATAGTTATTTTTGAAATTACAGACCAGTATTCCCCTTTTTTTTTTTTTCAGCTACGGGAACACTGCTGTATGAATGCTTGAAAAAAGTCTGCTTCCCAGCTTTACCTTAGCACTGTTGGTGCATGGTGTTGAGCTTGCTGACTACTGCTAGCCCTGTTTAGCTGAGTAGTTTGTTTCCCTCAGCAGCAATAATACTTCACAGAATAGGCCAAGGTCGATGTGCTGTGTGCAGGACTGTTGAGAGGAGCTGTAGTGCTCTCCTTGTGTTCCTGCACACTGAGGGGGTATGAGTGCCTAAGAAACTATGTAGCTAAAAATACATTCTCATTTATAAGCTCTTATTAGACATTTGTGATAAATATTTGGGACCTGCTTAGCTGATCTAGTTGGAATGCAGGTCCCTGTGCTGCAGGAACTGAAACTCCCTATTCCCTGGATTATGCTGCTTTGCTTGGAGGGGCTCTGACATTGCCGAGAGTTTGTCCTTTCTAATGCTCTGTTTTCCACTTTTGTTCCCAGCAGCTTACGGTTCTCTAAGTGGATGGGTGCTCTCTTTTCTTTGCCCGAGTGGTAACGTTCCAATGCAAAAGCTGGATGCCACAGACCAAGACCTGCGTTAAAGCAAACACAAAGTCCGAAGATCGTGTTGTAAAACTGCTTGTTTTATATACTCAATGTTATTCAACTCATAGTGTATCTTTTTTGATTCTTTTGGTAAAACTGTCTTCATACTTACCAATGTGGTTTTATTATCCTACCTATACCTTTTTATTCAGACGCTGCCAAGAGTACACTGTTTGGACTAGCCATTGTGGTGGATTTAAGGAATTAATCATTTATCTGCTAGGTTGTTCTGAATGGTTTTGTGGTTAATACTAAGACTTTGTGGCCTGTTTACGGTAAACGTATGTGTGTTTGCACAGTATTATAACTTTCACCTGCCATTTTAGGTTATGTATCGTATCAGTTTTTCAGAACTTTCTCTGTGCTTTTGTTGCTTTTGAAGCTTCATCTCTGGTGATTTGTATTTGTGTGATGTATGAGAAAATGTACAAAACGCCGATGATTCACCAGTGATTGGAAAAAGCTGACTTTTCTAAATCGCCGTGCCTTAACACACCATAAAAACTCCACACACCAACAACTTGTGTGGATGCCTCTGGAGGTTTGGCTTCAGGTCTCAACTATTGATGGCAAAAATTTGTCACAGGCATTTCTATCTGTCAGCTGAGCGATGGCATGTACTGATTTTTTATATATACCATAGCACTACTTTTCATTGCAGTTTTGTAATAAATTGTATGGATGTGGAAAACACTGATTTTCTTTTTGGGGTGGTTTTTTTTTGTTTTATTTTATTTTGCATTTTCAAGGTAATGTGTGAACTGTTGTAATGGTGTTGTGCAAGGTGCATATTCAAAGGAATTGTGATGCTTACCATGGGGTATGAAAGTGTTTTCTAAAATTTGTCTACCTGCAAACTGCTTTGATTTCATTTCAAAACAACTTTAAAAGGGTTTTACCTATAAGTTAGGTAGTGAAGCATCACATCTGCTTTTTTTCCAAAGTTAATTAGGCACCTACTGATGTCTTTAGGTGGGTGAATATCCTGGAAAATCTGATCACATACCTTACTTTATAAGTTCATGAATGTTGTTATTTCCTTTATGTCATTGCTGAGTTACAGCTCTCTTCTGCATGCTTTTGTAGTCTTGTATGTTTTATATATGCACAAGTGTAAATTACCTTCCAAATACGGGATTGAGACACTTTGTCTTCTGTACTAAATTGGGGTGTCTTTCATGTAATGATTACCCCTAATTTTGCTGTCTAGCAATGGGTGTTTAACCAGGGTAGGATTCACAAATGATTGGCATCACAGGGATGCATATTTCGCTTTCTTGGAGTTGAACTGCATAAAATGGACGTTACATTGTTGCTTCAGTGGCTGCTATAATGAAGTTGAAAGAAGAAATGGAGTGACGGATTTGCATTCACACAAATTATCTACTATTTTTATGAAGATTTGAATTTAACCATGTCTGTCCAGGGATCCAAGGTGAGAGATTTAATGGCAAACTTTTTCTCATCATTTGTTTGCTATTATTTGCACCTTTCTTGTTGTTTTTCTTCCAGGATTTTGCATCATATTTTGCAACCCTCTTAATTATGTGCTGTCCGTTTGTGCTTGTGAAAGTCAGGACAGCCACACCCCTCCTGAGAAACCCAGACTTCAGTTGGAGACGTTAGTTACCAGCTAGATTAGCTGTCTGAGCAAAGGTGGCATGAAAGCTTTGCCTTTCAAAGCCAGCTAGAACAATGGGGAAGCAAACTATCAAAAGCATCTAGTCTTTAATTTTATTAAAAACAGAGGAGTTTTTTCTCTCTCTTTAACACAAGGCACCTAAAGTCACTGTCACTGCTCTTGTGTGGGAAGCCTCAGTGAAAAGATTTTTACTTGGGGATACTGAGTACCGTTTGATAGTCTGTACTTTTCTTTGGGTTTGTGGATTCCAGATGGAGCATTTTGGTTCAAAATTTGAGATCTATTTTAATAATTGCCCAAGAAGGGCTTGTAGAGCTGCTGATTCCATATGTGAGTATTTTTCTTTCAATGTAGTCTTATTTTTTTTATACTTTCTACCACTTCTTTGATGTTGACTGATGTTAGTTTTCAGTTACATTTGAACTTGGTTTTGTTAAAATACTTAACAGCTTACTGGGGGAATATATACTTGGTGAGCCAAATCTTTGTACTGTGGAGCTCTCTGGATAGAGGGCACTGGCTAGAGCCTGCTTTCTGACTTCGCATTTCAACTCCCATAGGTGTTGGCAGTGCCAGGGACTTGGAAGACAAGTTCCTTTCTCTGAATTTCATTCTGATTTCTCCAGACAGACATTTTCTAGCACTGGGACAAAGTGCCCACATGTAACTTTTTTAATGACTGATCAGCAGGATCAAAGAGCATTTAGCTGCAGTCCTTTCAGTCTTCATTAGTTTTAAAACACTGTGGCAGACTATAAAACAACTCATGAAAGGCTGATTGGCTCGTTTGTGCCTTTAATTGTAGTGCAGAGTCTCTTATGGTCTGTGGCTTTCTAGCATTTGAGAACAAGGAAATTTGCTGACAATTACCTGATTCATTTTTTTCTGATGCTTTGAATCAGTGGCTAAAATTGAACTCAGGGTGAGCTAATGCAGTTTTAAAATGTATATGCCTTGGATTGCCAGGCCATGGAAGTGTCTCCTTGTTTTGCTATGAGGGGTATTTTGAGTGAGAAAGTGGAAGAAATACCAAGATAAATGCTGTGATGACTACAAGGATTTGAAAAGTTGATTTTGTGGCATTGGTGCCAGATTTCTTCCCAGGCAGGGCAGTTCCCTTCAGTTATGCAGCCATCGCCCTGCCAAGCTTATCCTGTCCTGTATTTGGAAGAGTTTCAGGTCTGATAATTTCCCTGTCATTGAAATGGGGAAGACATGACCCCTCCCTGCAGCCATGGAAGTCAGGGGAAGGATCTGGGCATCCTTAGTCTTCACATCCCATTCTCCTTCTCTACTGTTGAGTTTTCTTTGAGTTGTTCTCATGTCATGTGCAACTGCTGCTTTTCATTTAAATTCTGTCTTGCTTTGTCTTAAAAGAGTTACACTGACAGCTTTTACCTAAAATAACTTCCCATATAACCTCTTTAAAAATTTTTAATGGAAACAGAGCACACACATTCCTACTTCACACTGCATGGTTGCAGTATGATTCAGGACTTCCCACTGTATTTTGAGATGCTAAATCTGGAAACACATTTCCTATTTATTCCATTTGTGTTTGGGTTTTGTTTTTCGGTTGTTTTTTGTTTTGTTTTAAAATACTGTATTCCTCCTTCTCGGCGCCGTGTTGCTGATGGAGACCAGGGAGTGCTGCCTTTTATAGTGTTTAAACCTTCAGGGAGGTGTCGGCTGCCCGGCTCCGGGTGGCTGCGGGGAGATTATTCCTGCACGTCAGCCGGGCCCGGGGCTGTGTTCTCCAGCCGCTGGCACGGGCCGGGGCTGGAGCGGGGGGATCGCTCCGGTGCTCCTGCCGGCGGGTCCCGCT